GTAGTGTGTGTGTGTGTGTGTGTGTGTGTGTGTGTGTGTGTGTGTGTGTGTGTGTGTGTGTGTGTGTGTGTGTGTGTGTGAAGCATAGAGCCTAAGTGACTTATAAGGAAAGATCGTAACACACGCCTCTTTTCTTTTTGGTGAACACGAAGTGATTGAAATACGCAATTACTATACAAACAAGAAGACATACGTCTTAAGTGTTACGGAGAAATTTGACCGCAAAGTTTTTGACACAATGTTCAAATATTTATTAAGCGCGATCGCCATCAGGAAGTGTCGAGGGTTCTCAAGTTTTTATCTCTAAACTATAAAATCGCGTTCAACCGTCCCGTTTTCTTGGTAGTGATCAAACACATAACAATGCGGATTTTATTTAATAACAAGAGTAATTACCAGACATACAAACGGCCTCGCGTTCGATTCATGATAATTCACTATTTTTCTAGCTCATACAATTTGTATAATTCACTATTTACGCGCGGAATCTCGCGATCTGAAACTTCTCGAAAATTTTACAAACGAATTCTTAATTATCAAAATCGGTCGATTCCTCGATTCTGGAAAACGATTTGACAAATTGTAGACATTAGCGGACGTTGGCGAGACAACAGAAATTGCTTTCTTGACAAACCGTCATAACTCCTACGTTCGGTTCGTCACTTGATTTGAGGAAAGTTAGAGAAATCGACCATTAGTATCGCGGACACAATAACGACACTTGAGCGATATCGAACCTCCTCAGGTTCGCCGACGTCGACTTCCGGTCGCGTGAGCCGCGCGAGAAGCGACACTGATGTAAGCTCATTGACGAAATCGAGGCGTAACGCCGTTCTTTTCGGCTTTGGCCAAATTCCAGAGGGAACTTTCAACCGGTATCGCATCTGGAATCCAAAGCAGCTCGTTTCCGACCGTTTCCTCCTCCTTCATTTATTTCAACTGGAGATAACTGTCTGACACATATTTAATCCGCGATCGCGGAATGGATTTCGATATCGTCGAAAGGACGAGAGCAGCAAGCAGTTTCTCTTCCGATTATGTATTTCGCCTGAATAGTTTTGAATTGTAAAACCGAAAGAGAGGAAAGGAGGGGGGAATTTAACGGGATTGCGCTTTAGGAATAATAAAAGCTTAATTCCCCCAGTTAATTCCAGACATGTCCCGCTTTAGGCTCGACTTGACAAATCTGTTAGGACAGAAGCTAATTTCGACGAAGATATATAAAATGCGAAGATGCAAAATAGTTTCTGTACTTTTGCGACTTATATTTAATATTATATTTAATATTAAAATTCGGCTAATGATATAACGTGAAATCTATGTCCTTAGTACTTTAACTTGTATTTAAATCGGTCGATATTCGCGCGATCGTCGACTTTAATTTTTATTACGTGAATTTTCGGATGCTTCATTAATATTTATTCGATAATGCTATTATTTTAGGAACTTGTCAATAAAACTACGCAAGAAGAGCTGCAGCTCATAAGTACATACTACTTGGATGGCCAAGGGAAAGCGGTGCGACCCATGTTTGCCATACTCATGGCACGAGCTATTAATTACCACAAGGGAAGGAAGTAAGTGGGAACACAAACATTTTCAACAAATTCATCAAACGGATACTTAATAATGGTGTTTATATATTGCTCGTTGAGCCGACGAGAGTCTAGCAAAATGCAAAGAATGTAATCTTCTGCTTCTCTTCTGCGGAAGAACAAACTTTCGGGTGAGGAAAGAAACTAGGAGATTAATCGTAAAGAAAATTGTAAATTAAATTCGCGCGAATAAAGGCGGAGAGAATATTCTATATTCACAGACAGCCTAGAATCGTGCGGATTTTAAACGGATTCTCGAACCTTTCATCTTGCGATTTTTTTTTTTTTTAATCGTGACTTTGGAGCGACGTCCGTTGGAAAATTTTGCGAGTGTAGAAGACTGCGCCCGAGAGAGTCGAATCTCTTTATTAGCGTTACGCGCGCGGCACGAATCTCTGCAAGTATGAAAACGTATGCTCACGGCGTTTAGAAAGCATTAAAAGTGTCGACAAAGTGGTACGTTAGAGATCTCTATGAAAGCGGCGGCCGCGGCTCTCTTGCGCGAGCTACGCTATATCAAACATGAATGGGCGGCCTCGTGAATGAGAGGCGCGTTAGCGCTCATCGTAACGCATTAGATTATTTCGGTACGACCGTTCGCGCCGATTTTATTATGCATTCGCAATCGCTATTGACTAATTGAAATTGTCAGAGTGAAAGCGAATCAAGTTCGTTTCGATTTGTCAAAGTTCTCACTTTGAGCGTGTAATTGTGTAAAGGCGCGGGGATTATCAGACTGAAACAAATAGGCTTACTGCCTATTTTCTTAAATAGGATGATTTTCTAGGCTGAATTAATGCCGAAGGAAAGGGGCTGTGTCTGTCTTAAGTATAGAAATCGTGAATTTGAAAATCATTAGGCAGCGAGCTTCGTTTGCAATCGCTATGAAAGTACGAAAGATACAAAGATACGACTCAAAGATCGTGGAAAAGATATGTACATCATTAGCAACTAAAAGTAATGTGTACGCGCTGGCAATCGTCGTCGTGGCAGATAGATTATCGCAGATGATTTCTACAATAAGGAGACTTTTTTTTTCTTTTTTTTTCTTTTTAGCGATCTCTCGCACTCGCAACGGCAAGTAGCGATGATCTCTGAGATGATTCACGCCGCTTCCTTGTTGCACGACGATGTGATCGACCAGTCGGACATTCGTCGTGGCAAACCGTCGGTCAACATCGTCTGGAGTCAGAAGAAGGTAAGCTTTAATCTGTTTTCCAATTTGCAAAGATAATTACAGATCGACCCAAAATTAATCGATCTCTCAAAATTGGCGTCGGTTCTTTTATATTTAAATATTAAAAATATAAACATATATATTTAAGTGTACAAAAAAAAAAACTGAACTTTTCCTATTGAAAAATTATCGAAAGTGAGTTGTTGCTCGATGATTAGCGGTGCGACGACGATGGAAACTCACAAACTCTCTCTCTAAAACGGCGAGCGAGGAAAGAGGCTAATGCGATTCATGACCGACCGATGGCCTTTGCTTTCTAGATTGGGAACCGGAAGTAAAAATCTCGATCCACGCCGTGCGTTCGCCATAAGTGCGGAAAATTCGGTAGAAAAATTGAGGGATGAAAATTCAATCGGACGTCATCCGATAGAATTAGAACGACGTAAAAACTGTTTCGAAAGTGGTTCGCGAGTCAGCCCGGCTGACTTGAAGTTACACATATTTTATTAGAAATCGACAGTTGGAGAACGCAATGGTGGGCGAAACGCCTTCGAAAAATTTTACTTTGAAACAGCGCGATTAACATACGAGACGCACTTTCGCAATCGCGCTCGAATTTTGTTCGCGCTTTTCCAACTTGTTAGTTGCGAGACACCTCTAACGCGTATTAATTAGGCTTTCAATCGGCGTCGCGAATGATTGAGTTGCATTTGCTATCGACATTCATTACACAAGTGCGCATATGCATTGGCAAGTGAAACGAAAGCGCTAGGTCAAGAACGCGCGAAGCTATTGACCAGCGCTCGTTACTTTCTTCCTCTCCCTCCTTCCACCTGTGTGTGTACAAAGCGTCTTAAAAGTTCCTTTAGAACTATGATTTCTTATGAGGTATACAGCACGGAGATTTTTTTCGGCTTGACCTTCATTTGGAGACTAAAATATTCGCTGATAATTAGTTTTTATATGTATGTATTTCCGTTTATTTCTTTGGCATGTCAGCAATTTCAGAATTAATTTGATAGTTTGAATTAATGAGTTTTAATTAATTTGACAGTAAATTAATTTGAAAATTTTGAAATCAACAGTGCCTCTTGCAGTCTTGGAGATACCAGTTATTGGAGATAGTCTTGGAGATATCAGTTATTTATAGAACGTATTTATATAAAATATAATTGATATATATATGCCAACGGAAATACACACTCGTATACTTATATGTATTTGTGTGACTTTGTGTTTTATAGAATGATAGATATCTTAGAGAGTTTATTCATTTCTGAGTTTAAATCTTATTATTCAAATGAATGAAAACATATGTATAAATAAAATATATGAAAGTAGTTATTAATAAATTTGCATTTGTGTGTAATTATTTTTATTATTTATGAAAAAAGAAAAATCTTTGTTTTTATTAACTTTAATCTCTTTTTAACTAAAATTATGAAAAAATGAAATTTTAATTTCTTGGCTAAACTTTAAAATAAATAATCTCTGTACAAGATTTTCAATACAACACTTAAAAAACATAATCATAAAGAATGTCACGAAAAGTAGAGCTTTGCTCTTTATTTTTCTGCTTGTTTTTATCGGTTTTGCGACATTACAGTCGTGTAAAGGAATTTGTCACCTTAATGCCTCTAATCCAACATTTGTGTTCAAACACTAGATATCTTAATGTGTATAGCGCAATAATATGAAATACATCGTTGCGAAATGCAATGACAGCTTACTAGCTGTGCGAATATATTTACAATTAAAGGCCAAACTATATTGTAGAAGGACAAGTTCTCAGGCACTCCTTAGATTTTTTATACAAGTGCATAATTGTGAGGCACAACGAGATGAGGATGTTGTTTTATAATCACGTAAGAATGAAGTCAAGGGTTCATAAAAGTAGCGCTTTTGCATTTTATCAATAACATTCTATCTACGGACAGGATCAAGTGATACGAAAAGTAATACGAAAAGAATAATTTTGCCATTAAAATATTTATTGTAGGACATTCAAATTTGTTGCTAGAGTATAAAATACTTTTTGCAATATTATCATTATGCTTAAGCGGCCTACATAATAATTTTTATGGCAATAAAATTATTTTTAGATCTGGCCAAATTTTTAGCAAGACCGACAAAACGATTTTTTTCGATATTAATTCGGTATTAATAATCATGGAATATCGAATTAAAATGGAATAAAGGTGAGGTAAGCATGCGGCACGATATGTGGCAATTTGCATAATGGCTATCGGAATAACGTACATGTTATGAGGAAGCTTGAAAAGTATGACAACCTTGACGCATGATGGAATTAGCGCCGTCCAAGAGAAATGGAAAGCCCAATGGTGGCCACGAAAGTTCCTTCGGTATTGCAGAGAGACAACAACGAGGAGCAGATATTGAACCGACGAATTGTGTAACAGGCTTTCGTATTAACGTATCGCTAATTGAGAGA